TTCCCTTCTTTTTCTCCCATCCGACTCTTACTCCCGGAGAGACCCAGGAACACCCATTGTCGCTCACTCTGTTTGGGAGGCGGCCTCCTGTCTCTTGTCCCAGAAAAAAGCCATCGACTCCGTAAAGGGGAAATAGCATTAGTACTCATTTGATCGACAGGGAGGACAGGCTGGTGACTTATTTTAACTTATTTGCAAGGCTGTGTTAGCCGGTGTCCTCACACTGAATCATGGGCGAGGAGAAAGTTTTCTTACCACCGTCTGTCGACACTTAGGGGATCTGTACGTGACTCAGTTCTGTCAGTTGTTCTGCCGTGGGGCATTTTAGAATCAAGCCAACTGGTTACTCAACGAAGTCATTTTTTCCCTGAGTTATTCCATGTCAAGGTTGTAAGGCACTCCTGGCCCTTCTCCAGCCTCTGGCCCATTCGTGATTGTGCTGCCTGCTGGGAGAGTTGAAAGGAGGGAAAGCAGTGAAAGCAGACACCACGGCCTCTCGTGTCCTGATGGGCAGCCTGGTGAGAGGCGCTGGTCCCTGCATGAGCTGTCATCAGAGGCCCCTCTAGCATCTAGGCTGGAAGATAGGGACTGGCTTCTTCCCTGCCAGAGCTGGTGCACCAGAGCCATCTGCTGGCCAGTTCTGGACCTGGGCCTCTCCGCACACACCGGGCGGGGTTTCCCGGCACAGGGCCACAATGCCCAACCTTCTAACAGAGACTTCTCCTCTGGGCTGTTATTGATTGTGGTTAAAGGAGAAGGACAGATGAGTGCAGCCTCAGTACCCCTGCCAGGGTTTCCCTGTACAAGTGATTTCAAAATAGAGCCTTGTGCCTGAGCAGCAGCCGCAGGCACAGCGACCTCCCCCTCTTCTTGACTACAGACCTCTGGCTTAACCTTGTCCGGCCAGAACTGGGTGTCCATTACCCAGATGACAGGCCAGTGGCTGCTTGCAGGGTTCGCGTGCCCCGAGTGTCTCTGATGAGCACAGCAGCCTGGAATCAGGCTGTCTTGCCCAAGAGAGCTTCCTCTCAGAGCGCACTTGCTGCAGGAAAACAGTTCTGCAAGAGAAGAAGGGAGGGAATTTTCTCACACACGTATCAGGGACTCAGAAAGCCCCAGGAGTCTTCATAGACCACCAGGTGGGACAGAGAGGGAGTTTTGACCTTGGCTTTCCAGGTGCCACCCCAAAGTGTTCCGTAGGTCTCACTGGTCCTGACACAGAGGTTCTTAACCTTTTGTGTGCCAGGAAACCGCTTTGGCAGTCTGGTAAAGTCTATAGCCCCCTTCTCAGAATGTGTCTGAATACATACAGTGGAATAATACAGACTTACCAGGAAAACGAATAATATTATATAGAAAAATGCTTGCCGAAATGCTATAAACCAAGTTTGTGATCTAGGGAACGCCTGCACTTTATCAGCATATTGAAATAGCAAGATCCACAAGTGCATCTAATAATGCCTGTACATTCAGAGCAGGGGTGAGTGTGGCCAATAGAAGGAGGTACTGCCCCGACTGTAACACAGCATTAACATGTCTGTGACCCGGACTGCTGAAACAGGCACAGGATGGTGACATCTCAGTGGTCGCCTACATCTATCGTGGAAGGAAATGCTAGATTGCAGATACAGCTTAGGACGGTAATGATGTCACGTTTTCTCCTCCGTCCATGGCCCTCTGAGGTCCCGACCCCTAGAGGCTGAGAGCCGCCAGGTGGCAGGCCCTGCTTTGAAGGGCTAATGAAGGCTCCTCTGAGACAAGGGTCCGCACTCCCTTAGCTCTGGGCCCTCGGGAGAGTGAGAAGATGCAGCCAGTGCAGCTCATCTCATAAAGGGGGCTAACAGGTCAGAGCGGGCAGTGCAGCCTGAGACGTCCAAACAGAGAGGGTCATTGGGCAGCAAAATGCTCATGCTGTGGGATGCTCTGCACGAGGAGCAGAGAATGTTTAGAAACCGTCTTCTGCCGCTGTGGAATGTTTCGTCAGATTCTCTTATACAAAGATGGCTTCCTGACTTCTCTCTCCATTCTCAAGGGCACTGCTTAGTAAGTTCTGGTTTCAGAACGTGACCCTTTCAACCCCAAAAGGAAACAAAGTCTTAGCATGCTCTCAGAAAATAGGGAGACCCTGACACAGCAAATACCAACTGCCAGCTGCAACCCAGTAAACCCGACCGTGTGGGCCTTTCTTCTCTTTCCCAGACTGAACTTTTTCCGGGATACTCCAGACTTCCGGGTTTTGGCCTGTGGAGGGGATGGGACAGTTGGCTGGATTTTGGACTGCATCGGTAAGAATGGGTGGGGAGAACCTTTGCTGTTTATTTATAGAATATAAATATAGTGTATTTAAAGTCAAGAGAAGAGAATAAAATAAAGATAAAATGGAGCCATGTCTTGTCCACTTTTGTATCAACACTTGGACAAATACTTGACCAAATGTCTGCTTTGGGTGGAAAAATAAAGAGAATGTAGAGAGGTCCCCACCGATTGAGAGATCATGGTTTTTGTCTCAGGCCTTGCCTCAGTAGCAGACTGTGCCATGGGTGGGTTGGGCAGTGGCAAGATAGTTCCGATTCAGGAGTAGGGAGCAGGACTGGGACTCCAGGCAGATCCATGGTGGTGGGTAAAGGCCAGAGACTACATGGCCTAGGGCCATTTCTGTGAGATGACCCCTGGAGCCTTGTACTGAGAGAGTTCCAAGACTTTAATCACATGGTTTTGAGCAAAGGAGGGACGTGGTAGAGTGAGAGAAAAGGGCAGAAGCAGGGAGACCATCAGGAGCTACAGCAGTAATTAAAGTGAGCGATGGCCAGGGCTGGGCCACAGTGGAGACGGGAGGTGGTAAGAAGTGGCCAGATCTTTGGAAGATAGAGGCCATGGCTAACAGACTGGACGTGGGAGGTGAGAGGAGAGACGTCAAGGAGAGAGCAGGACCCGAGGGAAGCCTTGTTCCCAGGGGATACAAGGAGACCACCCGGAGGGGTGAAAAGGCTGTAGGGCCCGCACACCTGCTGCCTGCTGCTCCCCCTCGGGTGCTTTGGTTTCCATGGACACAGCCCTGCCAAGCAGCCACCCACGCTCTCCCATCACCTCAGGCTCTGAAGTTGTTTGTGGGAGGAGGGAGGAGCCCTCTGGGAGCCAAGGAAGGAAACGCTGATCCACAGAGGGCAGATGGCTGCTCTGCTGGGCCACTTGCAAGGGTCTCTCTCCATTCTCAGAGAGAAAACTGACTTTGGTGAAAAGTTTTATATGATTCAGCTGCAGAGGACATGGGCATAGACATCGCTCAAAACAGAAAGGATATCTCAGGAGATGGAAGAAATGTTAGGGGTTTTCACACGTTATTGGCCCAAAGAGGAAAAAGAAAGACAGAGGTGAAGGGAATGGCTTCAGGATGTGCTCAGTCGCTGCCTCAACAAATACTTACACACGTGTTCCGTGCTCTCCACTGGCCCACGGTGGCCCCCTCTCCATCTGTTCTCCCCCCACAGCCAGAGCAATCTTTCCTGAATGTCAGTGGTCCACTGTGTGTGTAAAATACATCAGTAGCTTCCTATTCTTCTTAAGATCAAGACAAAAACCCTTCAAATGGTCTACAGGGGCTGGGTGGTCCAGCACTGCCCTTCCTGCCAGCCCGATTTCAGACTCCATCCCTCTCTGACTGGCGTCTCACAGCCCCTCCTCAGAGCCTCGAACACGCCTGTGTCCCGTGCTGCACAGGCCCTGGTGCATGTTGTTCCTCCTGTCATTTCAGACCTCCATCCCTCTCTCTGACTGGCGTCTCACAGCCCCTCCTCAGAGCCTCGAACACGCCCGTGTCCCGTGCTGCACAGGCCCTGGTGCATGTTGTTCCTCCTGTCTGGAATGCTCCCCAGCCTTTGCCCAGGCGGCTTCTACTCCAGTATCAGCCACAATGTGGCTTTCCCAGGGAACCCTCCCTCACACACCTGCCAACCTCGGTCACCTTGTCACAGGGCCGTGTTCCATTCCTTTCCTTTCCAATAAGAATGAGAAACTGAATTCTCTACTCAAAGGGAGACCCCAGGGACTGGACCCACCGTGAGCCCGCGCCATGGCTTCTTTGCCCACCTCCAGAGCCGTAGCACCTAACGCCGCATCTGGCTCATGGCAGTTTAGGTAAAATGTGTGGAGGGGCTCTGCAGAGGAGCCCCAGTTCCCCACAGGAAGGTCATGGTACATTCAGGGAACATGGTGCTAAAAAAACACTCCGGAGAGGCACCAGGTCCAGACTGCGGCAACCAAAGAGGGCCTCCCAGAGGCAGCTTCTGAGTGGAGCAACAGAAAACTTTTGTGATTTAAAGAACCGAGAACACTTCGGGATGGCTGACGTGTTGAGTGGGAGGTGGGCGTGCAGAAGGAGGAGACAAGGGAGCAAGGTGGAGCGTGGGTTCTGAGGCTCAGCGTGGCTCGCTCCGGGGTCCTGCGAAGCCGAGCAGAAGTGAAGGCAGTGCACTGGGCCCATGGGGCTGAGGTGTGGAGAACACCCTGGAGGGCGGAAGTAGAGGCAGAGAAGGCAGAGCAGAGACCCTTGCAGTAACAACACCAGTGGGACCGCAGGTCGCCATGGGGATGGAGAGGCGAGAGGGCTGGGAGCCGTGCTGGGGACTGTTAAGGAGAGCTGTGCGAATGGAGGCGGGGCAGGGAGGGAGAGGGAAACGCCCAGGATCACACACAGGCTTCTAGCCTTGACACCGTGAGGATGGTCTCCTGCTGAGGAGAGGACCACAGGAGAAGGGGCCGACAGAAGGAAACCAGAACCTTCCGGGCGAAGGGTGCCGCACGTGTGAAGGCAGGGAGGCACACGCTGGAGCCGTGTGTCCCGGCAGCATGAGCGTGCTCTGCGTCGCTCCATTGCTAGCTAGCTCTTCCCACGGGAATCGCAGGCCTGGGTCTGGCCCAAACTCGGGAACTTCTGGCCCAGACACCCCGGGGGACCCAGGGGCTCTCACTTTGCTGGGGCAACCCTCACGTGCCCCTTACCTGCTGATTCCTGCACCTACTCTCACCGCTCACCCGAGGGCACTGTGCACACTGGGTCGATGTAAACAACCCAGGGCCCAGTGGGCACCTGCACTTCCTCTTCCCCTCTGCCAGCCCAGCCAACGAGCTGCTGTGGGTCTGGAGCCGAAGGAAGCGTGTTCTGCCGTGCTTTCCCCAACAGCTCTCTCTGGTGCTCCTTCAGAACCATCAAAAGAGAAAAGACGAGGAATTTGTCTCAATATTTGCAGTTCTGGGAAGTGGCAGAAGTGACAAACTGACAGTGGGGACCGAATGCCGCCTGGAGGCTTTTCTTGTCTAACACAATATTGCGTTGTGAACTTCTGAACCTGAGTGGCTTTAGGCGAGCATGCTCCGTTTTCCAAATGCCCCACTGTTCCCTAATACCTCAGGCCCACCTGTCTTACTTATCTGCGCACCTGGCCATCCCCTAAGGAGAAGAGCACGGGTTTGGAGCCACCGAGTTCTGGGTTTGAGTCCCAGCTCTGTAATGAGTTTCCCTCTCTGGGCCTCAGTTTCTTTAACTACAAGGAAGAGGATAATACTTCCCAGGATTGGTGTGGAGCTTGAGGGAGTAAGCGCTGGTCACCACTGAGGATTACAGCCATACACACTGATGTCTTTGAGGGTTTACTGCCACCCCAAAGAACGGAATTAAGGTGACACTTGGATGACAGGGTCAAGCTCAGTGTGAACTATGGAGCGACAGCTTTAGCTCAGTCTGTGGAGGTTAACACACGGCGGATGGAATAGATGCTGAAGATGGTGTGTTCGCCATGGCGGCAGGCATTCAGAGTCCCTAGAAGGGGTTCAGCGTCAGATCAGGGGTGACGAGATGGCTCAGACCGTTTATAATCCCACGGTGCACGGTTCTCTCTTCCTTCTCCCTGCGTACGGGTTCCAGACAAAGCCAACTTTGCAAAGCACCCTCCAGTGGCCGTCCTGCCTCTTGGAACAGGGAATGATCTTGCCCGCTGTCTGCGCTGGGGAGGAGGTGAGTATGCATGCTAGTGGCACTACCCCGGGGACAAGCGCTCCAGGTTACAGGATGTCCTGCAGAGTAGAACTTACCCCTCGTGGACCACATTCCACAGAACACTCAGCTCTGTGGTCATATCTAATGCATGCTCCTTTCCCTGCCCTTCACTCTTTAAAAAACAAAAACAAAAACAAAAAACCTTATTTATTTATTTTTATTTGACCAGAGAGGGACAGAGTGAGAGAGTGAGAAAGAGAGACAAAGTAACAAAGTAAGAAAGTAAGCTGCCAGGTCCGGGACTCGAACTATGGTCAGCCATGTGGGAGTCCAGTGCCTTTAACCACCGTGCCACCTGCCAGCCCCATCCTGCCTTCATTCCAGGCAGAGTCTACAATAGGAGCCCCATGCTCACCCCTCCTTGTGTCTGTTGTCCTCCTGAAGCCATCAGCCTTCCCCTGGGAACACAATCCACTTTAGGGTAAAGACCGGCTCTCATTGGCCCCCACCCCGTGCTCATCCTGGTAAGGGCTCCCTTAGACAGGTGTTCCCTGCACGGAATGCTTCCTCCACCAAATGAAAGCTCTCATTAATCAGGACTTGGGATTTCGACAGAAATGCCACATTCGCAGTTACTTAGTGTCACTGAGGACTTCCGGGTTATCTGAGGCCCCCCATGACCATGGGTCTTCACGTGGAAATGTCCTCCGAGGGGGAACACAGTGTAGTAACCAGCTCGCAGGGCTGGGGCAGGAGCTAAGGAGGGCTCTGCAAGCGGCAGCAGCCCCCATGCAGCAGGGCGTGCTCCCCAGAGTGGAGAAGTTCAACTTGGCATGCGGAGTAGACAGGTCAGCCTGGCAGGCAGAAGAGGATGGGGGCTCCAGGTGGCTGGTCCCTTCAGAGACTGATTCAAGACCAGGCTGGGCAGTAGCTCTATCCAGAGATCAGTTCACACTTACACTTGGTGGGCAGAGACAGAGCAAGTGGGAGCCACCCCGTCCATCTCCACGTGACGCAGGCCCTGAAGGCATCCATCGTCGTCCCATGCAGCTTCCCAGCCGTCCAGCCCCCTAACTCACTGGGCTTACTTCTGCTAAACAGACTTCTCCCACCAGCCCCTTCTCCCACCCCTGCTTCAGGTGCTCCGGCTTCCAAACCACCCAGTCTCTTTTCTTTTCTTTTCTTTTCTTTTCTTTTCTTTTCTTTTCTTTTCTTTTCTTTTCTTTTTTCTTTCCTTTCTTTCTTTTCTTTTCTTTTCTTTTT